GAGAGAGAGAGAGAGAGAGTGTGTGTGTGTGTGTGTGTGTGTGTGTGTGTGTGTATGTGTGTGTATAAATCAGAGCAGACACCTCTGGTGGGGCCCCTTCAGAACTGCAATTAAAGAGAATAACAAAACTCAATTTCTACTGCACACTTTGCTAAGTGCTTTCTCATCTAAACCTCATGACATTCCCATGAGAGGAAATATTAATACCATCCCATTCTTTAGGCGAGGAAACTGAGGTTGACAGAGATGAAGGACTGTCTCCAGTGTCTCCAGAAAGTAAGCGGCAGAGGCAGGATGCAGTTGAGGTACCCTGGCTCTTGGCCTGCCTCATGACCACTGTGTCCACCCTCCTGGTGTGTGCACGTGCCACAGTCTGGCTGGGCACAAAATCACGAGCCACTCACAGCTTTGTAGATTCAAACAGCAATTCTTTATTCCCGAACTCACACTGGCCCTCTACAAACACGTTGTGGGGAAATCCAAGTTCTGCCCAAATTCACGTACTCCACCAGGCTCTAATCAGCAGGATATGCCCTATTCCCAGCAGGGTACACCTTAAACCTGGAACCGCCCTAAACTCAAGGAGCAGGATACTCCCTAAAACCAGCAGGATACACCCTAAACCTGGATCCGCCCTAATCCAGTAGGATCCTCCCTAAACCCGGATCCACCCTGGTCCTTGAGCAGGGTCACCTTTCTCAAACATACATACAATGTCACAGCGAATGTCCAAGGCAAGTCCATTTCCACGAGTCCTTCCTCTAAGCAACATGAGGTATGCTGGCAAGGAAATTTCGATGCGTCATTCCTACTTGGCAATGGCTCTCAGCATGCACGGATACCTGGTAAGCGAGGACAGAGCCTTCCACTGTTATCTTCGGTTGACCAGTCCTTTGGGTGATTCCGTGTTCCAGGGAGCTAGAGAAGCCACGCCATTGGACCGTCCCTGCAATGGCACCAGTGCTTCTGGGAATCTCCCAGAGGGAACGGGAGTGTCTGGAGGTGGGGGGTGAGTTCAGAAGGGGGAACCTGCAGCATTCACTGCAGGATTAGAGGAAGGGTCTGGGATAGACTCTGTAGCTAGATGTGTGTCCTCTGAGCCCAGCGCCTCCCCGGGGGTGTCTGGCCTTGGCCATCACAGAGGGACCTCTTGGTGGGGAGAGTAGGGGGCTTTCTGGATGGCGTCCTGGGAAGGGTGTTGGGAAGCACATCCTGGATGTCCTTACATCTTACTCAGGAGGGGCCAAAGTTTGTTGAGTCCACATCCTACTTACAGGGGCCGACTGTGCACCAGGTCACGTCTAGATGCTGGGGAGGCAACAGAGAGAAAATGCTGGGTGTCTGCCCTCAGGGAGCCCTCAGGCTCCATTCTAAATGATGGGTGGTCTGCCGGAGCATGAGCTGGAGGCCCCAGGACCTGCAGGGTTGGGGCAAGGCAGGAGAGGGCTCAGAAGAGGGAGCCCAGAAGCCCTAAAATCAAGCCCTACACTTGACTGGGGAGCCTCCATGACTTGTGTTTCCAGACACCAAGAAGCTCTTGTAGCGGTAATTCGCCAGAAGAACTCCCAGAGCGTCTGAGGCCGGGTGTGGGAGAGACGAGCAATCCCACCGGCTGCCTTCCTCCGAGAGCCAGAGGGGCGCTCTCGAGCGTAGAGAATTCTTTCTGGGGCCAGTGGGAATTCTGCTGAGAACAGGCTCCTTCCATTTTCAAAGTCACTTTGGGATCTATGTTTGATCTTCTCAGTGCCGCAGGCATTTGGATGGAGCTGAAGCCTTCTGTGGAATTAGGGAAAAAAGCAAAAAACAAAAACAAAAAAATCAAACGCGTTGGTGGGTCTGGTGCCTGCAGATATGATTTGCCCTCTGGGACACTTCGTGGAGGTGGCGTCCCCACTCCCCTTGGGCTCTAGTGCTGCCTTGAATAGGAACATTTCATAAAGTGAGTGCTTGCTGCTCAACGGATGCTTCCCGTGGGGTGCAGGCAGACGCCATGTCCCTGGCCCTTAAGCAGATGTGTTCCAAGCAGGAGCAGCCTCTCAGCACCAAGGATCTGTCCTCTGTTCACCTAAGCAGGTTTGGAAGTGGGAGGCCACACCAGGGAGCGTTCTGATTCTCTTCCTGTTCCCCGTAGGCAGCGGGACCCCACATACTGTTCTGGGTTCAATGCAAATCATGTTAACTGATAGCCAAGTGGCCAGAGTCCAGAAATCTCCCTTTCATGGGTGTCTCTCTTGAGTGCCAACCCTCTCCTCCCAACTGCCCTCTGGATACCCTGCTACACTTCAAAATCATTATGTCCTCTATTCACTCCATTATTGCTTATTTAGAGTCTTCCACGTGTGTGGCCTTGCTAGGGGCTGGAGATAAAGACTTAGGAAGAGATGGCCTTTGCTGTGCCGACAGTTTCTGTCAACTGGTCACATCCTTCCCTCTAGCCAAGGGCAGCAGGCTGCATTGGCTCCACAGAGCTCTCAGCACCTGGGAGCTAGAAGACAGTAGGTTCTCCATAAACACTGCTGCATCCACGTCGGTTAAATGAAACACTGTGCTTCAGAAGACTGCAGGGTGATGGGAAACGAGAAGAGAAGCGGTGATTGCAGGTCACCAGCACAAGGGTCAGGGTGGAGGCAGGCGCAGGGTCTATTAAGGAAGGAGGAAAGTCAGCTGACTTGGGGGTAGGGCTCAGGGTCACTTCCAGACACAGCTGTGAGCCAAAGAATAACCCAGAGTCGGCCTGGTGAGCAGGGCAGGGGACTGGGGAAGGACATTCCAGGCTTTGACACAGGTAGCATGGGGGAAGCAGCTGATTGACAGGACATCCTGGGAGCAGGGATAGGAGTGAGGTGGGGCCCAGGGCAGCTGGCCATGCTTCCTTCCCTGATACTGGGGAGGGCGCCATTCTCCTGGAGACCTTTCTCTGAGCTACCACCCTCCACCCCAGCACACCTTCTCTGGGGTCTGGTCCTGGGGTTTGAGCTCCCCTCCCCCCTTTCATTTTGCTTGCCTGGTTGCCATCCTGCCTCCCAGCCACTCCTCTGGCCCCTGTCATGTTTGGCGTCCACCCATCCTGCATCTTCTTCCTGGAGCTCACACTCTGCTATTGACGGCAGCCCTCCCTCGCTCCACGGGGGTCTCAGAGGAGATGTCTGTCCAGGCTCACCCAGAGGCTCCGGCACTCCTTGGAAGACCCTCACAGAGGAGGAAGATTTGGTGGCAAGATGTGATTGGAGGGGAAGAAAATCCCGAGAAGCAGAATAGATTGGACAAAACCACTGTGAAGCAGAGATGCCTGGGGCCTGACAGCGAATGTGACCTGGCTAGAGAGAGTAGGAAAAGGGAAAGGGAGGAGGAGGCCATTAGGATCTGCATAGGGGCCCTGAATATTGAGGGGACTCGTAGCAACTGAAATCCCAAGTGGCTGCTTGTCCCCCTGCCACCCCCCAACCCTGCTCGGCCCCTGCTGCCGACCTTGGCTTTCAGGCAGAGCCCAGTGCTGGCCGCCTGCTGCTCTATTTTGGGGTTGGGGCCAGGGCTGTCTCTCACTTCTGTTCTTCACTATGATGAAAGTTTTTGTCCTATCTTGAGGTTCTAGGTTGTTGAGAGCCACAGCCGAAGGGGCCCCAACAAACTTCCAGCTGCCAGCAAACTTCCAGCTGCCAACTGATTGGCTCCTCTATGGTGATGTTCATTGGGCTGTTTCCCCGCCCTTTCAGACCACGGAGCTGCTCATTGGGGGTCTTTTTTGGCTCCGCCCATACAACCCAGCCAATCGGCCTCAAGAGCAGGAGGAGTGGGGGAGGTTGAGAGGCTTGTGGGAAGCGGCTGGTGGCAGTTGGGCTCTGAGGGTTCTTCCTGAGGAGCTGTGTGGTGTGTGGTGTGTGTTCTAAAAAATAAAGTTCATTTCTTTTGACAAGTGGCTCCTGAATTGTGCCCAGCCAGACTGCGGCACTAGGACTTGGTCTCTGAGGTGGGGTTAGATTTGGTGATCCTCAGCCAGGCTTTCTGTCCTGGGGCTCAGAATGGGGCTGGTGGAAAGGTTCATTTTTTCACAAGGATCACTGCCATAAAGTGGTCGAGTGCCAGTGTTCATGCAAGTACTGAATAGATAGATGCCAGTGGCTGACAGGGATGTCACAGGTCACTGCAAACTTCTGTGATTCTGCCTTTGAAGTGGATCAATAGGGTCTCTAGGCTTCTACGGCAACCTCCAAATGTTTTGGGGAAATCATAATGTCTATTCCACTGGTTTCCTAAAGAGCAAGCTGTCTTCTAAATTCTATATAGTAAAATCCCTAAGATCATTTAAATTTCCCATATGGAGCTTTGTATTTTTGGATCTCAGCTGCATGCTCCTTTCCCCTCCAAATAAAAACCTCTTGATGAGGAGATTTTAATAGTCAGAACTTGAGAGTCCTACTCTTTAGGTGTATTGATATTTGCCTGTATTCATTTATGTGCTAGTCAGTTTTCTGTCACTGTGACAGAACACTGGAGATAATAAACTTATAGAGGAAAGATTTATTTTGGCTCTAGGTTTCAGTCCATGGCCCCACTGCTTTGGGTGCATGAAGAGGCAAAACAGCATGGTGGGGAGTGTGTGGTGGAACAAAGCTGCTCAGCTCCTGGCCGCTGAGAGGGAACGAGAGAGAGAGAGAGAGAGAGAGAGAAGGAAAGAGAGGTAGAGAGGCTGAGACTGGGGTCCCAGTATCTCTTTCAAGGACATGTCCTGGTGACCTAATTTCCTTCCATAAGGCCTCACTTCTAGATGATTCCACCGCCTGCAGGTGAGCAACCATCTTCAATACCTGACCTTTGGGAAACACTGAAGAACAAACAATGGCAGCCTGGCCATTAAAGTCATTGTGGATCAGGAATTTTGAATAATGATTTTTTTGACCTTCGAAATGCTTTCATCAGCATCATCCCATTGGAGGCTCATCCCCACAGTCCCCCAGAGGAAGCTGCCGTAGGTTTTTAATTCTATCATTTTCTTCCCACAGACTTGCGTGGAGGCACAGAACGACGGGCACAGGAGCAGGCGGAGCTGGAACTGGTTTCTGGACTCTTCTCCCTGGATGCTGTTCCCTAAAAACTCAGCCGGGAGGCGCGCTGCAGGGCGACAGTGCAGAGAGCTGTCTTGTCTGATTGGGGGTGTACAGGCGGGGCTCTGAGAGGGAGGCCCAGCCTCAAACCGTCCTTTCCTTGGAGAGGACACCCTGGGGTGTCCTAAACACAGGGACACAGGCCTCTCTGCATCTCCCAGGTCACTGCTTTCCGTACCGAATGAATGACTTGCTGTGACCTAGAGTCTAGCCCCAGTGCTTCTGTTGAGGGCTCCTTCCTTTGCCTGTTCTCCCTTTAGTCCGCCCAGGCTCCCTCCCTTGCCTCTGGCTCTGCAGTGGGCCTCGGCCGCCGGTTCCGTGGGCCGCCACTGGGTGGCGCAGCTGCCCGCGCGTGCTGAGGGGCCGCGGAGCGGTGCAGCCAGCCTGGCCTCCCAGACCTCCAGCCTGCAGCAGCCCTGCCGCCTTCTGTCAGCCTAGGCTCCGGGCTCCTGGGGCTGAGGAGGTCGGGATCGTGTCGGCAAAGAGCAGGGTCTCCAAGCTCTGCCAGGGCAGTGGCTCTTTCCCCCAGGAAGTCCTCTCTGGGGTGCAGTGAACTGGACAACTGCCTTCGAAGAGAAGGGTCTGTGCACACAGATGGAGTGACTGGGGTGGGGGTGGGGGCGTCTTCATGGGAACACACCCTGAGCCCTTCTCGGCGCCAGGCATTTTACAACTGTGAACTCCTTACATTCTCACAACCCTACAGGCTCTTTTGACAGTGGAGGACACTGGCACAGGTTGTCAGCTAGTCAGTGGCGGGACCTGGGTTCTAACCCCGGCATTCTGATGGCCCCCAGCCTCCTCTCAGGGAGGAGGCGGGCAGACCTGGCCGGGGACTGTGCCTGTAGTCATGACTTTGATGCCCCTCGGATGGAGGCTTCATTCACTCGGTTTTCCAACAGATGTTGATGCAGGGCTTCCTGCTGGCCAGGCAGCGCATGTGGCCCTTGCTGTATGCTCCACGACTCCAGCCACAGTCCTTGCCCTGTGGAACTGGTGGGGGAGACAGAGATGAACCAAAAAACAAAAACCAACAAATAACAAAACAACCCAAACGAAAAAAAAAAAATAAAAAAAATAAAAAAAATCACACTTGTGACAACTGCCAAGTGTCCTAGAGAAAGGGTTCTCCCTCTCTCTTATCTGCCTCCTCCTCTTCTTCTGGGTCCTTCTCCATCCCTCCTGTCCCAGACCCACATGGCGTATCTGAACACAATGCAGCGGTTGAGAAGCCAGCTCAGATCTAGGGATGGATGGTGACTGGACTAGGGGCACAGCCCTTTGTGACGTAGAAGGCAGGTCACATTCATTGACTTGTTTGGTCTGGTCCAGGGCCAGCTGGTGAGTCTCCAGGGGAGGCACCTAACAGGAGGTGATGCTTTAATCCATGCAAGTTTCTGGGGAAACTGCGAGGGGTCTTTAGTTTCAGACTTGGGTTTGAATCTAGGCTTTCCTTGGGTCCACCCGGGCTCTGGGTTCTTTTTGTGCTCCCGGGTAAGTCACCCACCTCTAAGCCTGGCTCTGCTCTGGGAGCCTGGAGAGGTCTGACCTCTGACCCTTGCATAGATCTTTCCAGAGGAGCCAGCATTGCTGGGTCATGTTTCAGCTTTTCCAAGTGCCATGGGCCATGTTTCCTCTGAGTACTCGTTGTCAGAAGAATCAGCTGAAATATGTCCCTTGAGCCACCTGGCACCCCTGCCCAGCCAGCAGGATGGGGGGCTGGGTCACAGCCACCAGGCGCTCCTTCCGGGAGGTTCCCTGGCTCCCCCCCCTCCCGCTTTCTGGAGCAGGGTGGAGGGAGTGCCAAGGTAATGACGTTGCCACACCAAACCTAAAGTCATGCCTATACATGGCAAAGGGAGCCCTCTGGCCTGTCCCCATGCGGCATGAATCCATCATCAGTCCTGCCAGGCCCAGCTCTGCTGCAGCTGGGCCTCCCCCAGAGCTCACTGGGGGGATGGCCCCTCCCCAGAGCTCCTGGGTTCCTTGACACCTCGCTGCTGCCAGTCCTCAGCTCAGTGCTGCACACCCCTGCCCCATGTCCCCACTTCCCTTCCTGCTTTGTGACTCTCCCTTTCTCCCAGGTGCATCCTCAATGCGCTGGGCAGCCTGGTAGGCTGCAGGAGCTCTGCACTCACTTTCTGCACTGTTTACCCCTCTCCCCGCAGTTCCTCCCCACACTGCCCACCAGAGGATGCGAACAGAGGAGGCAAGCTCTTCTCCCTGTTCTCGGGGTGCGTCTGAGCCTTGTGCCTCTCCAAGCCCTAGAACTTTCTTCTCCCAGGGCTCTTCCCTTTGAGAAGAGGCCTTCCCCTTTCTCCTTTCCTGGGGTGCTGGCCAGGTGTCTGACACCTGTTGTCCTCTGGACATTGTATCCCATTGCTCAACGGGTCCTACTGAGCCCACCTTCCTTGTCCATTGCCTGTGTCCTCTCCGTGCCCATCACCACTGATTTCCCTCGTCGGTCCCCACCTGGACCATTGCTGTAAATTGCTGCCGGGGCTCCTGTCTCTGGCCCTCCCCATCCTCTCCAACTGAGTGTGTTCTCCACTGTAAATCTCCTCACATCCTTTCATCCCTCCCTTCCTTCAACAAATGTGCCAGGTACTGCTCCAGGTACCTGGAACCAGGAGGAGATGGCCATGACCAAGATAGACAAGGTTCCAAGTGTCCTTGGGCCACCTCTGTCCCACTGTCCCCAGGGGTTTCCAGGACCTGGGGTAAGGCCTACACACCTCACTTGGGCCTTTGGAGTGTGTGGGTAGCAGACGATTTTTGCAGCCCCTGGTTTTCCTGTGAGCTCAGCTCTGGCCTCGCTGACCGCTCTGAATCCTCCGTCCAACACGGCAGGCCAGTGCTCTGGTCTGTTGTGTGCTCTTTGCCTTCTGCCTCGGGTTCACGGCCAGCTCTGTGCTTCTGCACTGCTCCTCTCACAGGCCTGGTGTCCCCTAAACCAGAGGGACTGAGAAAGTCAAAAGAGGCCCTTTAGAGAATTGAGCTCAGAGTCTCCAAAGTCAACCTTTCCAAGCCACCGACGTCCTGGAGTCACCTCTTCCTGTCCTTCGCCCAAGCTTTGAGCAGGATTCTGTTGACTCCCTTAGAAATGATCTGGGTGCGTCCTACGTACGTAGCATCTGCTGTTATTGCTACGGGAAGGTGACCCTGCCCCACCCGAAACTCCTCACAAGAGACTTTGAAGTCCTTGTTTTGGAAAGCTTGGGATGAAGGTTCATGATTTCAAGACATCTTGTGACACCTCCTGACCTACTAGTTTCAATGAAGGACACTGAGAAAAATCCTGTTGAAAATTATTATTAAAAGATGGGAACTGAAGAATAAAAAAGCAGGGGAGGAAGGGAAGGCCCAGAAGCCTTCATTGGCCAATCTCAGACACCGGGAGCATCCCACCTCCACCCTCAATAATGACCTCAGGCTGCTGACTTGTCCTCTTGGGGCCTGATTTCAACCGCGTTAGAGCTGTTCTCTGAACCAAATGAGGCAGTCCACGTAGACAGGCTTCCGTCTGTGTCCAGGTGGTGGGTGCTGAGACACATCAGGGAGGCAAAGCCAAACCTGCCAAGGGGGGCTCAGCTCATTACTCACAGTGGTCCAAGCCATTCTGAAGCCTAGAAAGCTCTGGAAGTCTGAAGTTTTCTACTGGTTTGCAAGAACCCAATCTGGTAGCAGCCTGTGGCCTGATGGATGCCGCTCTGTGTATGCGTGTCCACTTGGGTGGATGTGGACGGTCTCTGCAGAGCCCTCGGGATGTTTCATTATTAGGGCAGCACAGACCCCAGGGGATCACACAGGATGTGCACGGGAGTTTTGCTCTAAATTGTGAACATTCTCGGTTCTGAAATGCTTCCGGCTCCAAGGGACTCGGATGTGGGATTTCAGATTTGTTTTAGAAAGTTCTTTAGATGAAATAAACTCTCGAGGTCTGAGAGGGATTCTCACGGTCTTTGAGTAAGGATCCTTGAATCCTATAATGATACATTCATTCACCCAACGTATATTTCCTTTTTCTTTATTTTTTTAGTATCTATTTTTTAATATCTTTATTCACTTTTTTTTTAATGTGGTGCTGAGGATCGAACCCAATGCCTCACATGTGCAAGGCAAGCACCCTACCACTGAGCTACCGCCACAGCCCTACAACACATATTTCTAGTTGTTTGAAAATAAAATAATGCAGACCTACCCTTTTCCAGTCATCATGGAGTGCTTCTGAAATCCTGAATAGAATAAGCGCATATTGGTCTCTGATAAGGCCCAGCCTCTGCTTTTGTTTCCCACTTTTTAAAAGTTAGGTAAAAAGCATTAGTGCATATCTATAATCACAGATGCGTGGGAGGCTGAGGCAGGAGGATCACAAGTTTAAGGCCAGCCTGGGCAATTTAGCAAGAACCTGTTTTAGAAAAGAAAAAATGGGTTGGGGATGTGACTTGGTCTTGTTAGGGCTCTTGTCAAGCATGTATGAAGCCCCAGGTTTCATCCCCTGTACCAGAAAAAACAAACAAACAAATAGAAAAACCAATAGTTGAAAAATTTTACTATAATCAAAAGTCATTTGACTGGAGTTAACACAAATGTTCTGGTAGCACCATGACCGAATAAAAGAGTAACCAACAATCAATCTCAAAAGTGACATTATTGAAAAAAGTACAGAATAAAAATCCTTCCCCTTCCTGGGATTCAGTTTCCTCCTACAAAATCTGGATAGCAATTTCACAATTCATGGGGTACTCATGAGGTGCTAGGTGAGTACTAAGTCTTTTATATAGGACTTTACATAACTCACTTAATTCTCAAAACAACTTGATATGTTAAAAATCCCTTCATTTTCTAGATGAGGAAAAAGGGGAACAGAGAAGTTAAATAACTAGACCCAGGGTGCCCAGCTACTCCATGGTGTATATGAGGTTTGAACCTAAGCAGTCTGGCTCCAGAGAGCATGTCTAATTATAGCGGTTCCTCCTCCTCCTGCTTCCTCTTTCTTAGCTGCTGAAATGCTAATTGCCAATCAGCCTAATGTATTCCTTTAAATAGCCCCACTATTTCATTAGTTTAGCTAACTGGGAGGCCATGTGTTCAGTTGCTTTTTTTTTTTTTTTTTTTTTTTGCTCTTTGTCCATTCATCTGTCTGTCTGTCCATCTCTCTACTCATCCATCCATCCACCCACCACCCACCCTCCACCCATCCACCCATCTGTTCATTTGTTCATCCACCCACCCATCCCTCCCCATCCACCCATCCCTCCCCCATCCATCCATCCATCCATCCATCCATCCATCCATCTATCCATTCACCTGACATTCTGTCCGCCCATCCATCTATCCACATAGGATCAATGCAATGTAAATGGTCCCAAGGAGCCACTTGCCAGCTGTTAGCTTCTGGCCTCTGACTATCAGCTCATCCCTAGTATAAAGCAGGATCCCAATGTTGTCTTGCAGACTGCTTGAGAGTGTTAAATGAGCTGTTTGGGTGCAGAGCCTTGAGTTCATGTTATTCTATGTAGTTGTACGAGGCATAATTACATTTAAAAAATTCTACAACTAGTAGGATTCAAGATTTCACTCATGCCCCCACCTTCCCATTTCTCAATGTTATTTTGCTATTCAATTCCAAATATTGAATGGATTCTGGAGCTGAGGTCCACCCTGGCCACCCACCCTTGTGACTGAGGGAGCCATCTGCCTGTCGGGTGGCAGGGATTCAGCACGGAGGGTGGCCTAGCCTCCTTCCCTTCCGAGTTTGCCTTTGACAAGTCTGGGCTGCCTTTCTCTGGAAGATGAGGGTAGAAGGCTTGGGAGCAGGCAGACCTTTTCTTCTCCAGGAAGGTGGTGGAGGGGACAGCTCTGGGGGAAGCCAGCTGGACTGGCCTTGGTGGCAGCTGGAATAGGCTTCAGATCCTGGGGAGTGTCGGACAGCAGGACCGAGGCAGCATGGAGAGACTCCTAGTCCCCTGTGCTTCTGATCCTGGGCACGGGGGTGGGGATGGGGGGAGGCAGACAGCCTTTTGCCAGAGAGAGCTTGGCACTCCGGCTTCTGCCATCTGGGTTGTGAGTGCTGTGTGTGTGTGTGTGTGTGTGTGTGTGTGGTGCATTTGCATCTGTGTGTTTCTCTGTGTGTGTCTCTCTGTGTATCTATGGGCTCCATGTATGTCCATGTGTGTCCTGGTGTATGTGTGTCCCTGTGTTTGCGTCTGTGTGTCTGTGTGTTCATAGACTCTCCTGCTGGGTGTCAGCAGTGCTCAGTGCAGGGCTGGGGACCTTGATCCACTCTGTCCCCGCCATACCACCTGTCCTGCCTCTTCCCACAGGTTCGATTGCAGACCTAGAGGACAATTCACACAAGCTGAATTTTCACACATCTGTTGCCTCACATCTATGATACCGGGAAATAAACCTGCACAATGCAGGCCCTGTCACCCACTCCCCATCAGCAGGAGAATCAGGAAGCAGCCCAAACACAGACTAAGGAGCCAGGTGAGGCCCAGGCCCTCGGCTGCATGCTCCACCCCAGTGCCCTGGAGGGAGGCGGAGGTTTCTGGTCCACTGCCCCACAGTCAGGGGTCAGGAGGGTGCGTGATGAGCTGCAGTGGCCGCCCACCCCAGGAGTCTACTGCACAGTAGCTGAAAGTTTGGTGGACCTGTCCCGGAGGATGGGTGTGGGAGAGGGGCCTTCATGGAGGGTGATGGCCTGGGTGCCCATTCAAGACCCTTCCAAGGACTCAGAGGCAGGAGTCCCCAGGTTTGGCCTGGAGACTGTGTTGGAAAGGATGAACGATTAACTGAGCCGGCAAGGAGGGACCCGTTGCTCCTGGAGTCCAAGTCACCGAGAGCAGGCCCTGCCCATAGAGAGGCACGTGGCTGCTGTGGACAGCAAGCCTCCTCCCGCCCACCTTCGGGCCTGAAGGTACCACTCTGGAAGGAACTTGCGCAAACGCTTGCTCACTGCCTTGGCCCCCTGCTCAGCTGGAAGATGCCAAGATCCCCCCACTTCACACCCACTGAGCACCTCCCACCTGTGACCAGCACTGTTCTGGGTGCAAGAGGCGTGGCAGTGCCCAGGGCAGAAGCAATAACCTGTCATCCTGTAGCGGGTATTAGGCAGTCAGTGAGAAGTGAGGCAGAGGAGCAGGAGGAGGACAGAAGAGGGGTGCTGGGAAAGGCTGCACGTTTCCAGAAGAGCTGGTCCCCGAGAACGTGTCAGTTAAGATCCGAAGGTGAGGGAAGGAGCCCTGTGGAGGTGCGGACAGAGCAGCGTAGGCAGAGCGAAGGGTAGGTGTGAAAGTCCTGGGGCAGGGAAGGCGGGTGAGGCCAGAGAAGAAGGTACAAAAGGGAGTCTGGTAGGAGATGATTCAGAAAAAGAGGCAGGCCATGAGGGACCCCTAGGCCTTGGCAAAGCCTCCGCCGGACAATTTCTCACAGAGTGGCTTAGAGCTGTCACTGGGTCATTTTTCCTGGGGTGTTGAAGTAGTGTTGGGCCACCAGCCCCAGGGGTGTGGAAGCTGGCTCCACAGGATGGAGCTCATAAAATGGGGACAGTCATGGTTTCTCCTCTGGTGGGACAAGAGGAAGGCCCAGGAGCAGGAGAAGCTGCCTTCAGGTCGGGTATGAACCTGGAGAAACGTGGAAGGAAACTTACTGGCTCTTAACTCGGGGCACCTGGGGAGGGAGGGCTGGGAGGAGACTGCAAGATAAAACCCTGTGCCCAGAGAAAGGGTGAGGACTGGGGCAGGCACCACACAGTTCCATGTATGCAGATCACACGGGCAGGAGTTTTTGAAGCGACAGATGTGTGAAAACTGGTCATTAAAAACGGGCAGTGGTTATTTCTGGGGGCCAGATTTCTGCTGATTCTTTTTTCCTAATACATTTCTGTGCTGTTTAATTTTTTTTTTTTTTACAATAAACAGGTGTTATTTATATAAACGGGGGGGGTGGGGGGGGGGACTCCAGCAGAGCTATTTTCACTGTGGCAGAATAAAAGAGAAACAATGCAAAGAGGAATTTGTGTTTTGTTCTGTTAATGCGTTTCCTCTTCTCAGGCCCTCCTGCAGCCTCAGAAGCAGGATGGAGCTCATAAAATGGGGACAGTCATGCTTTCTCCTCTTGTGGGTCAAGCAGCTACTTTCACGCTGGACACAGCTGCTGCTCCGTGTGTGACACTCACGGCTGCCATTCTTCCAGTTCAGGGAACCAGGTGGCTGCAGAGCACTCCCCCCTCACCCCTCAGGGACACAAGCTCCACCACCAGCCCACGTGCCGGACTCCAAGTTCATTACCCTTGGTAGGGGGCAACCTTGCCAGGCGCCTGGTGAAAGTCAAGAAGGAATGAAAGACGGAGAGAGGCGCCGCCTGCAGGTCCTGGCCTCAGAGCGGGACTTTGCCCACCTCTTGCCCTTTCGAGGAAAAAGTAGTCAGGAGGAGGCTGGTGGCCCCTGGAGCCTGACCGTGCTTCTCTGCAGCGTCACATCGCATGAATAATTAACCCTTACCGGCTGAGGATCTGCTCTTCGGCATGCAGAGATTTCATGAAAATTTAAAGACCCGACTGCAGCGGCACTGCGTGTTGTTTTCACGGTGGCTTAGACACATCTTTGAAAACCCAAAGTCTCCAGGTCTCCCCTGGAGCCCACTGTGACATTTGCACAGGCTTCCTGGACTCTGGAGCCTTTGTGTCCCCTTCCCTGGGGGCTCTGCACAGGCAAAGGAGGCCAGTGCGAGCAGGTGAGAATACCCCCGGGTACCTCTGCCTAATACCTGTGGGTGGGTTACAGGTGTTCCCCAGAGCAGTGGCTCCACTCTGATGGGTTACCAAGGCAACCCTGTTCCTCCTGGGACAGGGGAGGAAGGGATGCTACAGAAGAGGATTTCATGAGTCGTCTTTCTGTAGGGATGGGGACTAAAAATACCCCACAATTGGCATCGGGTGGTTTCAGGAGCCTCTCCGCCTTGTGTCTCAGCGCCCTCACACATTGCTCCCTGGCACTGTTCTGATCTTTCTGAGCATGCTTTGGCCTTGCCTGGGGGTCAGGAAGGCAGCACTTCAGAAAACTGGTGATTATCTAATGGCTGCAGGGCGGAGGCCTGAGCTAGGCAGGTGTGAAGAGGGGCCGCTGCTTTCCTGGTGGACTCAGCTCCACCTTATTTCATCTCACCAGAAGGCAGGAGCCTGGGAACCCGCGGGCAGCCTGCGCAGGATCAGGAAACCACGGCAGCTCTGGACACTGGAGGCGGGCAGGGGATGGCCTTGAGTCTGCCTGCCCTCCTCTCTGGGCGTCTGGGAGGGCTGAAGAGGTCTTGCCAGGCCTGGGAAGCCAGGGATCCGCAGCTCCGTGATGTCTGGCTCATTTCCTTCCATGTTGCAGGACGTGAACTGAAGCCGAGAAAGGCCCTCAGATCTCTGCTGTCATCCTGCGCTTCCAGTCTGCGCTTCTAAGGCAGCCTCAGCTCTGGGTTACAGCGTGGAGGGAGACAAGGAGTGCTCCGGTCTCGTGGTGGCCACGCATCCCGTGGTGCTGTGGGCTTGACGGTGCTCAGGGTTCTGAAACCTGGGAATCTTTGACTGACAGGGACCTGTGAGGATGCTGAATACCACCTCTGCACCCTATCGATGAGGG